CTCCACATCAGGCTCCCCGCAGGGAGCCTCCTTTTTTTCCTCTGCTTATGTCTCTGCCTGTGTCTCTCACAAATTAAATTTAAAAAAAAAAGGCAAACTGCCCCCCCATCTATCAATAAATTTAATGAATTACTTATTGATAGTAATTGTATGAGTTTCAAATTCATACAATTTCAAATCATACATTATCAAATATTGCTGCCCTGTGCACAAGCTGAATAATCAATATTTCTATAGATTCTTCCTGTAGAAATGATTAAAATTAACCAGGATGGCTAACAGTTCCTTTGACTCATAAATTAGAAATTTTAAGATTACAAAAATGTTGTGAGATGTATTATCCATACAGAATAACTACCATCCAAGTCAAGAAATATAATATTGCCAGCATCTAGAAGCCTGTGTGTACCTCTCCTGCATCATGAGTCTTGACTTTAACAATCATTTCCTTGCTTTTTTCTTAGTTTTATTATCTACCCACGGTATGTCTATACCATACCATTTTGCTTGTTTTAAAAATAACTATGCAAGTTACTTTTTGTTACTTACAATACTGTGAAATTCATCCCAATTGTGTGTAGGTCTTATTGTGCAAATATATATACCAGATTTATTTACTACTGATAGACACTCTAGGTTGTTTCTGGTTTGATGAAAAACACTTATTATGAAAATTCCTGGTGCATCTGTGGAAAAACACAAGTTACAGAAAACGTGCAGCATTACCACATTGTTTTCAAAGAAAGTTCTACAAGTTCATTTGCCACTCCACTGGTAGCATATACGACTTTTTATTGCTCTCCACGCCCTCAACAACACTTGGTATTATATCTAAACATTTTTGCTGTTCTCAGTGGATGTTCGATGGTATTCATTGTGGTTTTAATTTAAACAAATTTTCACTCACTGGTGAGTCTATCTGATGGCCAGATGGAAAAAAATCTTAATCCCCATATATTACGCTACATAAAAAATTCATTCCGGGTACCTGGTTAATCAAATTGTGAAAAGTGGACATTATGTAGAAGTAAAAGCATTATGCTTCTAGAAGAGTGTTGCCCAGAACTTTCTACAATGGTAGAAATGTTCTATAATAATCTGCACTTTCCTATATGGTAGCCACTAGATAGATACATGTGGCTATTGAGCTCTTCAAACATCTAGTGTAACTGAGGAAGTAAACTTTTAAATTTTATTTAACTTTTGACTAAGCTAAACTTTATGGCAATTAAAGATTTCTATTCATTAATAGATACCATTATGAGAGTGAAGAGGCAAGCCATTGAAGGGGAGAAGTTACAAGTTACATACAAAGACAATTCCTACTCAGAATATATAAAGAATAGGGTGCTTAGGTAGGTTAAATGTCCAACATTTGATTTTGGCTCAGGTGGTGATCTTGGGGTTGTGAGATCGAGCCCTGCGTTGGGCTCTGTATTGGGTGTCAAGCCTGCTTGGGATTCTCTCTCCCTCTGCCCCTTCTCTGTCTCCTTTTCTTAAAACAAAACAAAAACCACTTAGGTCATGAAAAAAAAAGGGGGGGCAGGTAATGTAGCCCCAGCCCCTCTAAGATAGACAAAAGAAACATACTCTTCAAAAGGGAGATTTTAGGATGCCTGGGTGGCTCAGCGGTTAAGCGTCTGCCTTTGGCTCAGGAAGTGATCCTGGAGTCCCAGGATCTAGTCCCACATCAGGCTCCCTGCATAGAGCCTGCTTCTCCCTCTGCCTAGGTCTCTGCCTCTCTCTCTCTCATGAATAAATAAAATCTTTTTTTTTTTTTTAAGGGAGATATTCAAGGGCACCTGGGTGGCTCAGTCAAGCATATGCTTTTGGCTCAGGTCATGATCCCAGAGTCCTGGGGTTGAGCCCCATAGTGGGCTCTACCCAGTGGGGAGTCTGCTTCTCCCTCTCCTTCTATCTGTACCCCTACTCATGCTCTCTGGCACACGCTCGCTCTCACTCAAATAAATTAAAACCAAAAGGTAGATATTCAAATACTAACACAACAGCCATAAGAACCTCAAAACCATGAGATATACCAACAGAACGATGAAACTCAAAAGACAAAAGGTAAACAATTATCAAGTGTAAGCAAGAACGTGGAATAACTGGAAGTCTCATACCTGGTGAAGTATATTTTGGATAATTAATTGATAGTTATCTACTAAAGCTGAACATATTCCTAACCTATGGATCAGCAATTCTATCTCTAAGAAATACCTAACCAAAACATATTTATGTGCAAACTAGAAGACAAGGATCAGAATGATCCTACAAGTATATTCCATAATAACCCCAAACAGGAAATAATGTCCATCTATAGTAGACTGCATAAATACTGTACAATCCAGAAAACATGAAAAATTAATCTATAGTGTTAAGTCAAAAGCAGGGGGCAGGGTGTGCCTGGGTGGTGACTCAGTTAGTTAAGCATCTGGCTCTTGGTTTCCATTCAGGTCATGATCTCATTGGTCATGGGATTAAGCTCCACATTGGGGTCCATGCTCAGCAGTCTGCTTGTCCCTCTCCCTCTGCTCCTCCCCAGCTCATGCTTTCTCTCTCAAATAAAAATCTTAAAAAAAAGTGGGGGGGAAGGAGTAATAAGTGGGCCAGGAAGGGGTATGAAGAGAGCTTCTGTGGGTCAGGTAATGTTCTTTTTATACTAGATCTGTTCACCCTGTGTAAACCAATTAAACTATATACTTTATATGCACTTTATTTTTTTAAGATTTATTACTTATTCATGAGAGACACAGGGAGAGAGGCAGAGACACAGGCAGAGGGAGAAACAAGCTCCAAGCAGGGAGCTGGACGTGGGACTCGATCCCGGATCTGCTGGATCATGCCCTGGGCTGAAGGCAGTGCTAAACTGCTGAGCTACCAGGGCTGCCCTATATGCACTTTTTAAAAAATGCAGGTTATGCTACAATTTTTAGAAGTTTATTACGAATGTTCCAGTAACTTCTGCCATGTACTTACCGTAAGTAGAACTTTGAATAAAATAGGGTTTTGGCTGTAGTGCCAGAAATCCAACTGAAACTTGAAGAAAAGGCAGGGTAAGTATTGGTTTAAAATATCTAAAAAAACAACTAGAGCCAGAAAGTAGAAAGTAATCAGGTGTTTGTCCTTCTCTCCTCTCATTTCTACTCTTTTGTGTGGGCTTTATCCTGTCAAACAGTGAGGCATTCATTCTCCCATAGAATTCTGGACTCACCTCAATCTTTGAAGTCGGCAATGGTAGTGGAAAACATCTCTTTAAGTCTGACAGTATCAGAAGTGGCCTCGCTTAAGTCACATACCTTTTCCTGGAGCCTTTTCAACCCCTTTTGAATCACAAGATTAAGTAGTGAAGGGGGGTTATTTTCCCAAGGGAAAACCAAGATACTGTACTCAGAAAAGGATAAGATGAATGCCAGAGATGCAAAAACATCTATCTGGAGATCAGAGAAAACCCTTAATTTGTAGTTCACCCCTGAGTTATGTCAAATTTTGTTAATAAAAGTAATATATATAGCTTTTCCTATCCAAAGCATCTAAGCTGCTTGTGAAAATCTCTGAGCTTCCAGGGGAAAGAAATCGAGTTTCTTATTAGAACTCTTGGGACTCCAGTCTTCTCCCTCCTTGACTCTGTCTTACATACTATGTTCCCAATACACAGCTCTACTTATAACAACCCCAACAAAGGAACCATATTCCCTATAGAGGTTGAAGATTTTTAGCCAGCCTGTCATTTGTGGTCCTTCTACCACCTCACCTGAACTTTTTCAGTTACATTATATCACTCTATGTACCTGCAATCAGTGCTTCTTAAGTGTTTGTCACCAATCTATTTTATTTCTATTTAAAGATTTTATTTATTTGGGAGAGAGTATGCACACAAAGGCAGAGAGAGTAGACTCCTCACTGAGTACAAACCCAACACGGAGCTCAATCTCAAGACCTGAGATCATGACCTGAACCGAAGGCAGATGCTAAATGGACTGAGTCATGTGGGTGCCCCATCACTGATCTATTTTAAATTATTAGGATACAACTGATAATTAATGTGTCAGTCATGAGATACAGGCATTAAATTTGTTACTTTCCTTTTTGGCTTTAAAGGTTTTTTTTTATTTTTAAATTTTTTAGAAAAGATTTTATTCATTTATCCACGAGACACAGAGAGAGGCAGAGACATAGGCAGAGGGAGAAGCAGGCTTCCCACAGGGAGCCCAATGCAGAACTTGATCTCAGGACCCCAGGATCACAACCTGAGCCAAAGGTGGACGCTCAACCACTGAATCACCCACGCGCACCCTGGCTTTAAAGGTTTAATAAAATGATTTATGAATACTAGATTTGATCCTTAATATAATGTCTTTTCTAAAAGTCAATGTTCTTTTTTGTTTTTTTAAGAGAATATAGGGGGAATGGCAGAGAAGAGCAAGAATCTTAAGCAGACTCCACACCCAGTGCGAGCCCAACATGGGGCCCGATCTCACAACTGTGAGATCATGACCTGAGCTGAAATCAAGAGTTGGGCACTTAAGTGATGGATCCATTCAGGTGCCCCCAAATGTTAAGTTTCTTTATTAGAGTACATAAAATAAGAGAGGCTTTTAAATAGGCTACCTGGATCTTTAGCTAACTTCATTTAGATTAAATGTCTCCATCTTTTCATCCTTAGCTAAAACTGACTGAAATAATATAACTAATTTACCAACTTGCTAGGGTTTCAGAATTAAAGTGATTTTTTTTTTAATTTTTATTTATTTATGATAGTCACACAGTGAGAGAGAGAGGCAGAGACATAGGCAGAGGGAGAAGCAGGTTCCATGCACCGGGAGCCTGACGTGGGATTCGATCCCGGGTCTCCAGGATCGCACCCTGGGCCAAAGGCAAGCGCCAAACCGCTGCGCCACCCAGGGATCCCCAATTAAAGTGATTTTTTAACTAAAAAATAAAAAAGGAATTGTGACATAAATTAAGGACATATTTTTAAAATAAAATATGAGCACAAATTAAATGTACAAACACATCACTATTTTTATTTGCATTTAAGCCAAATATGCTGTGAGCTAGGAAGTTACTCGACAAGATGTATGATCCCTATTTTATACATTAACACAAATTTCAGAACACAAAGTACAGCAACAGTCTCTACTTTATTGTTCAAATCCACATATTTTTATTCAGAATACAGTATTTATAAAAGTAATACCTCTTGCAACAAAACCAACATTATTAGGAGAGTTGTTTGAATTATTTTTTAATGGTTATATTGGAGCCCATTTTCCTCATTAAGTAACTACAGGGATTTAACACTCTTGAAGTTGTTTGAATACAACCAAGAATGTGGTATTGATAATTAAATAAATATGTATCAATTCACTCAAATATTCAAGATAAAAGGACTTATTATTTACTTAAACCAAAAATAAATTTTGAAAATATATTAAAAAATACCCTCTCAACCACTGTTAACACACTCCTTTATACCTTCACACAGCATGTTCCAGGAGTTATAATCTTCTGTGCTTTCACAGGTCTACTTGGGTAGTTATCAATCATCTTCTTTTTCAATATATGTCTTTGCATTAACCCGTGCCATTTGTCTGGCCAGGTATCTGTCTCTAGCTGACATTACAGTTTCTTCATTGCTTCGCTTTGCAAACTTGTTCCCCACCTCATGTGGTTTCTCTTGTTCTTTGCCCATCTCTTGACATTCCTCTGTGAGTCTGTGTTTTGCTCCCAGTGATGTTTCAGAACTGGAGGGTTTCTCTGAGTTTCTTTCTTTGTCCTTTTCCGTATTTCTCATTTTATTGGATCTTTCCCAGTCAAAAAACCTATCCTTTGCCCTAGAATTTGGGCTGCTTTCTTTTTTGTCTCGGTTTCTTCCTGAAGATTGAACACTTATTTCTTGTTGTTCTCGATCTCTGTACTTATCACTGTTTTCATGTCTTTCTTTCCTTGCTTTCATATGCTCTTCCTTTTCTTTGCTTTTCTCTTCCTTCTCTTCTCCTTTCTCACTGTGTCGGTCATGTTCATTTCGTTGTCTATCTCTTTCTTGTTCTCTTAGGGAGTATTTCTCCCTTTTCCAATCTCTGTCTTTTCTTTCTCTTTGGTCTCTTCCCCTCAGTTTATCTTCGTGTTCATGCCTCTTCCAGTGGGAATCTCTATGACCAGCCTCTCTGTGCCTATGGGAATCCTTCTTTTCTTTTCGGTAATCACGGTCAGTGTAATAGTTCTCATGATCCCTGAATTGTCTCTCTTGGTGCTGATCTTCCCTTTTCTCATGAACTCTTGACTTGGACCTTTTTGTATGGCATTTGATACCATGCTCTCTTTCTTCACTAGAAGATGGGGAGTGCCTCTGATGCTTGGAGTCACTCTCAGAAGTCTCTGTGATTTTTTTCCTTCTGCAGTTCACTTTATTATTTTCTTCCATTTCATCATCCTCACTATTAGCATCAAAGTCACTGTCTGCATCTGGGTTTTCCCCTACTTGCACAACAGTTTGGAGACTGCATTTCTCACGTGGTATTATTCTGTTCTCTGAACTTAATTCATCAGAATAGCCCCTTGATTTCTCTTCCTTTATCTCAGACCTTAAAACAACACAAAATGCCACATTATCATTGTAGTAAGCACATGAAGTGTTCATGCAATTTTTCTCAATACTTAAACCTATACAACTACTAAATGCAAAAAGGTGCTATTTAACTTGCAAACATTTGCCAACTAGTATTTTCTAACCATTCAGAATATTTTCAGAAAAAGGTAGAAGTGGAATAGAGAAAATCAGGCTTTCTGTATTGGACCACTAGAACCTTCAGGCATTAACATTTTTATAGACATGACAAAGAATAATTGGGAAAAGTAAGATATATTCTGGATCTAAGTACTATTTTCACAACATGAAGTTCAAGTTGCAGCTCTTTGTTGGATTTTTCTCTCTTTAAAAAATTTAAAAATAGTCCTCAAAATAAGTAAAGATGATTTTTTTTCACAGTGAAATCTAATTCTAAATATCACTAAATAATCTCTTACGATTAAAAAAGCACAACCTTCCTGATATAACCCTTTGGCACCTATCACAACAAAATGGGAATTTGTGAATCCACCTGATTACAATCACTAACACTAAAAATTGTTTACATCACTTACATTTTCCCAACTGATAAGTGTGGCTAATTTATTTACATCAGTCACACATTCATTCTTATGGATTACTTAATAATCATACTAACAGAACAACTGCGGTTCTACGGGAATTGCTGGCAGAATTGTCTGGGCTAAAGGATTATCTAATAGTTAGAAATTCTATTATTAGACTCCAAGAAAAGTACAACTATCAAATGACATTATGGAGTTTCATGACTGGCCTCACAACTATTCCTGATGAAACTCTAATAGAAATTCTTTTTCCATTCAAAAATCTCTCTTCAAATATACTTTCTAAGACTTATAATTTTCGTCAATTTTGTAATCAAACCCAGCATTTGGCAGAGCAAAGTATAAATCTGATTCCGTCTCTTTAGTCATAATTCCCCGCTTTCCTTCAGCAGCAATACAGACTTAGATCCTCTAATCTGATGTTTCTGTTCCAAAAAACCATTTATTCAGATATGAGCTCAGGACAAATTCTCCCCTTTACCTTTAGCTATATACCTGTAACAGTCATTTCACCATTCTTACAATACTTTATGATTTTATCCAAAAAACCCCTCCAATACTTACTTTCTATGTCAGTGCTAATGGACATATCTACAGAAATGGTAATGTTCATATCTGTGCCATCTAATATGGTAGCCATTAGCCAAATGTGGCAACTGAGTACTTACAATGTGGCTACTATGACCAAAATTTTAGGTCTTCAACAGTCTACATGTGCCTAGTGGCTACATTATTAGGTGGTACATTTCTAGCCCTTGATACGTGAATCTTATGTTTTATAGAGGCCATGTTCTACTTACGAAAATAAACCACTTATTCTATATACTATCTGAAAATACCTGTAGGATTACTGCAGAACAGAAATATTTGAACTAAATCTGCAGGTTTTTAATTAAGTATAAATCCCTAGCAATTCAATTAGATCAGGTTTAACTGACAACACAATATGCATGCTGTAATCCCCTATCTTTCAAAGGGTTAAAATGATCCCACAATTATAGATCATGAACAGAATCTTTCTTCTTTCTTCTAATATTCCATATGCCATGTCTCACCTGGCTTCACGAAAGCTGCATGTAGGTACTTCCTCTTCACCAACTGCTTGATTTAATAGGTGTCTATAAAATCCACTGAGATCTTTCTGCTTGGTTACATCCAAACGTGCTAAGAGAGGGAAAGCAAAAGCGAGAGGAAAATATTCAACAAGGCACAACACAGTTCAATTTTATGGTGTAGACAATGTAACATACAGAGTGTATAAAACTACTCTCTAGATCTGTAGTTGGCAAACTACAGCGTGCAGGCCAAATGTGGCCTATATTATTTTGTAAATAAATTTTTATCGGAATGTAGCCTTGTTCATTTATTAAGGCTGCTTTTGCCTTAGAAAGGCAGAACTGAGTAGCTCTAGCAAAAATCATATGGTACACAAAGCCTAAAATATTTATGTGGTCTTTCACAGAAAACATATAAACTGGTATTCTAGATGAATACCCAGTACATGGTTAGACATAATATTATAGATTTAATTTTCTTCTATTTAAAATTGATGAATATTTGCCAATTAAGCTATTTAAAAGTACACAATGTACTTAGATCTTGAGAAATGACCATGAGTAGAAAATACTGAAATAAAGCACTAAGACATTCTTTGGCTCCTGCACATCTTCTGTTATTTCTTGAATTAATGTTATTCTTTTTCTAAATGCCCATCCTTGAGTGATGTTACTCTAGTTTTCTAAACCCAGAAAATACAAGTAGGATTTAAATCTTAGTTTATATTGTTTCTGACAAATATTGTGGTGTTGTGCCTTGTAACAAAGGTTTTTATATTTGGAATCATTTTCTAAGGCAATGACTTGTAACGACCATAGTTTTAAGCAATAAAAGGAGAGTTGTGAAAAGTCCAGTAGAAATAATAGTTACTGAGAGTGCAGCTGTGTTTTCAGTCATCATCTTTTCTGTTTTATAATACTACAGAATATCATAACTACATCTTGAATTCATACACATAAATGAGGACCACAACATTATCATCTAGGAGTTCAGGGACAGAGCACATGGCTAAACCACAGGGCAGAATTTTGCTGCTTGTTTCCTTCTCCCCTCCTCCCTCTTCCAGTTCACCTTCTAGTGCAGCAGCCCTTTTCTCTCTTTCTTCCTCTTCAGCTCTCTCTTGCAGTTTTTTCTTATAAGCAGATGTCACAAATGCCTCCTTATCATCAAACTCTCCCTTCTCCATTTCTCGTTCTCTTTGTATTTTCTTTTCCATTCTCTTTTCTTGTTCCTTTTTTCTGATCTCAACTGCTTTTAGTAAGTTGTGAATATACTTGGGCTAGGGGGAAAAATAAGATTACTTAGGAAAGAATAAAAAATAAAAATTAAGAATATTCTATTTTTAATCATGAATTAAGATAAAAATGGCTAATCCAAATAAGTGGGATCGTCATCCTCTCAAAATTCAATATAAATTTACTAGCAAGGCTGAAACTAAAAGTCTTTTCAATAAAAATTTAAGTGTAAAGACAGAAATTATTCAAAATGCCATTTTACTTTTTTAAAATTTCAAACTAAGTAATTTTTCCACTGTGTTTTCATCCTTTTTACAGGTATTGTCTGAATACTTCAATAGATAAGTGAATCAGAAAGGTTCTTACTAGATTTTTACATTAGTTGATATACGGTTATTTAAAAGAACAGTGGGGAGTGCCTGAGTGGCTCAGTCAGTTAAGTGTCCAACTCTTGATCTCAGCTCAGGTCTTGATCTTGGGATCGTGAGCTCAAGTCCCACACTGGGCTCCATGTGGAGCCTACTTAAAAAAAAAAAATAGTGGTAACTTTACACCAGCACCTTACTTGTACATACTATAAAATGCAAAGATATTTAAAAATCTATGTTTGTGAAAAAAAAAGTGATAGAAAATCTGAACTGAGGTGAGAGGATGATAAAGCATAAAATATGAAAAGAGGAATTATTAATATAAAGATTTTCTATGAAAAAAATTTCAAGAAAAAAATTTAAAAAATTTATTTGTGAAGGGGTTAAAGCAAGTAAGAAAACTTACTGCTTTTATTCTTAGATAATTTATTCACTTTAGTAGGATACTAAACCTAGGGCTTCCTGGGTTCTAAATCAAATCTATATCATCTGCAACTGGGGGCTCTTCACAATTTAAATACCTGAAAGCTTTTCCTCATATCATCCTCATGTTAAAATAAGATTGATATAAAATGTAGGTCAAGGGGTGCTTGGTGGCTCAGTTGGTTAGGCGGCCATCTTCGGCTTGGGTCGTGGTCCTGGGATCCTGTGATCAAGACCCATGTTGGGCTTCCTGCTCAGTGGGGAGCTGGCTTCTCCCTCTCCCTGTCTCGGACTCATGCGTTCTCTTGCTATCTCTCTCTCTCAAATAGATAAATAAAATCTTTAACAACAACAACAAATTCAGGTCAAGGGGTGCCTGGGTGGCTCAGTTAGTTAAACATCCAACTCTTGATTTCAGCTCGGGTCATGATCTCAGGGTAGTGAGATCAAGCCCTGTGTCAGGGTCTGCACTCAATGGGGAATCTGCTTGAGATTCTCTCCCTCTCCCTCTTCCCTTCTCACTTGCAGATGCAGATACTCTAAACTAAATAAATAAATCTCTAAAATACAGTTAAGGTCAAATAAATTTGTATTTTCAGATACAAACCTTTCGGTCTTTTCCCAAAAGCAATTTGGGATTATTTTCCTCTCTTTTTTTCTGCATTTCATCATAAATACTGTCATATTCATATACAGTGGAATCTTCTGCAAGGGCCTTCTGGATTTCTAGTTTGGTCTAAAATAAACAAACAAACATGTCTAAAAAATATAAGCCAGCTAATACGTAAAAAGTCTTAGGTAACTTTTTTGAGAGAGGATCATGAATCAGATATATATTATAAAAATTCTATGAATCACATTTCAGACTGAAAATATAAACACCGGTCTGGAGCCAGGCTGCCTGGGTTTCAATCCTGGCTCTATACTTACTAGCTACTCTGGGCAAGTTTGTGTACTCTTTTTGTGTCTCAGTTTTCATCTAAAAAAAATGAGGATAATAACTGTATTTACATTCCAAGTTGTTGTATTATCTATTTTATACAGTTCATTCATTTATGATTTTAAAAAATAAACAAACAACACCTCAAACCAAGATCAAAAAAAGAATTTCTGAGCTTAGCTTGAGAATAGATAGCTGCCAAACACCTACTGAAAACATTACATCTAATGATGACATTTAATAGCTTTTCCGATGAAATAGGGAGTAAGATAATATTGCCATCATCAGTTCTGTGCACTGTCCAGATACAAGAACAGAAAGAAAAAAAAATGTCATCTATTAAAATACCCCATTTCTTAAAAGGCATCCAAATCAGCAAAGAAGTCAAACTCTCACTCTTTGCAGACGACATGATACTCTATGTGGAAAACCCAAAAGATGCCACTCCAAAATTGCTAGAACTCATACAGGAATTCAGCAAAGTGGCAGGACATAAAAATCAATGCACAGAAATAAGTTGTATCTCTATACACTAAAAATGAGACAGGAGAAAGAGAAATTAAGGAATCTATCCCATTTACAATTGCACCCAAAACCGTAAGACACCTAGGAATAAACCTAACCAAAAAGGCAAAGAATCTATACTCAGAAAACTATGGAACACTCATGAAAGATACCTCATGAGGAAGACACAAAGAAATAGAAAAATGTTCCATGCTCATGGGTTAGAATACTGTTAAAATGTCTGTTACCTAGAGCAATCTATAGATTAGATGCAATCCCTATTAAAATACCATCAACTTTTTTCAAAGAGCTGGAAAAAATAATTCTAAAATTTGTATGGAAACAGAAAAGACCCTAAATAGCCAAAAGAATGTTGAAAAAGAACACCAAGTTGGTGGCATCACAATTCTGAACTTCAAGCTCTATTACAAAGCTATAATCATCAAGACCGTATGGTACTGGCAGAAAAACAGACACACAGATCAATGGAACATAACAGAGAACCTAGAAATGGACCCTCAGCTCTATGGTCAATTAATCTCTGACAAAGCAGGAAAAATCATTCAATGGAAAAAAGTTTCTTCAACAAATGGTGTTGGGAAAATTGGACAGTCACATGCAGAAGAACAAAACTGGACATTTTCTTACGCCATACACAAAAACAGATGCAAAATTGATGAAAGAATCAATAATCCAATCAAGAAATGGACAGAAGACATGAATAGACATTTCTTCAAAGAAGATCTTCAAATGGCCAAGAGACAAAGGAAAATGCCCAACATCACTCAATATCAGGGAAATACAAATCAAAACCACAGTAAGATACCACCCCACATTGGTCAGAATGGCTAAAATTAACCAGTCAGGAAATGACAGATGTTGGCGATGATGCAGAGAAGGGGGAAGCCTCTTACACTGCTGAGGGAATGCAAGCTGGTACAGCCATTCTGCAAAACAGTACGGAGGTTCCTCAAAAAGTTAAAAATAGAGCTACCCTTCACCCAGCAATTGTACTACTAGGGATTTATCCCAAAGATACAAACGTAGGATCTGAAGGGGCACCTGCATGTGAAGGTTTATAGCAGCCATGTCCACAATAGCAAGACTATGGAGAGCGCCCAGACGTCCATCAACAGATGGGATCAAGAAGATGTCATGTGTGTGTGTGTGTGTATACACATATGTATGTATATATATGTGTGTGTATATACATATGTATATATGTATGTATATATAAACACACAATGGCATATATGCCATCTTAAAAAAAGAAAGGAACAAAAGGAAGGAAGGAAGGAAGGAAGGAAGGAAGGAAGGAAGGAAGGAAGGAAGGAAGGAAGGAGGAAGGAAGGAAGGAAGGAAGAAAGAAACCTTGCCATTTACAACAACATGGATAGAACTAGAGGGTATCATGCTAAGAAAAATAAGCCAATCAAAAACAATTATATGATTTCACTCATATGTGGAATTTAAGAAACAAAACAGAGGAGCATAGGGGGCGGGAAGGAAAAAGAACAAGATGCAATCAGAGAGGGAGACAAAGCATAAGAGACTCTTAATAATAGGAAACAAACGGGGTTGCTGAAGGGGAGAAGGGTGAAGGTATAGGATAACTGAGTAACAGGCATTAAGGAGGGCATGTGATGTAATGAGCACTGGGTGTTATATACAACTGATGAATCACTGAACTCTACCTCTGAAACTAATAATACACTATATGTTAATTAATTGAATTTATTTATTTTATTATTATTTTTTTATTTACTTATGATAGTCAGAGAGAGAGAGAGAGAGAGAGAGAGAGAGAGAGAGGCAGAGATACAGGCAGAGGGAGAAGCAGGCTCAATGCACCGGGAGCCCGACGTGGGATTCGATCCCTGGTCTCCAGGATCGCGCCCTGGGCCAAAGGCAGGCGCCAAACCGCTGCGCCACCCAGGGATCCCATAATTAATTGAATTTAAATAAAAATAATAAGAAAAAAATAAAATACTCCATTTCTAAGAGTATTTTATCTTAGATATAGTAATCAAGTTAGTATTCTTCATCATAAAAGTTAGTTAGTGGAGAATAAAGTGAAAAGCATGAAGTACAGATGTTCCAGCTCTGTGAAAGCAGCAGGAGGGAAAAGGTACATGAAGAGCTATAGCAGCACTCCTAACTTTCAAGCAAACTATGAGAAAAAAAATCTCACTAAGAGAAAATGTAGTTTGGGACAGCTAGGATTAAGAATAAAGTTAAATTTGGGATTTATGCTTTAAATAGGTAAGGAAAGGCAACACAAAAAATGTCAGAATAAACTAGAAAACAAGATAACTACATGACCTTAGAAAAGTCACCAGATTCTCCATAACTAATTCTTTCATCAATATGGTGAAGAAGTTGAACTCTGATGGTCTCTAAAAATTCTAGAGCTCTAAAATTGTAACTCAAAGCATTTCAGCATTTGTGTTATAAAAAAAAAATCACATTTTAAAAAATTGCGCATTAAATCATTTTCAGACTGCTGAGTTACACATTATATTCCACTTTCATTAACATAACCAAAATATATAATTCTGTGCCATTCCTTGGAGTAGCAGTAAACATAGTTACTAAAAGCATGAGCTCTGCAATTGTACTGCTTGGGTTGAACTATGAGACTTCATGAAAGTCACATAAATCCTTCTGCCTTCCAGTCCTCAATTATAAAATGAAGATTTTAAGAGCGTCTATCTTAGAGGATTATTTTAAGAAGTTAATTCTTAGAAAGTGGTTACCATAATGTCTGGCACATTAGAAAGTATTTAACAAATTCATTCCTATACAGGATTCAGGTAGAGTAGGGAGACATGGATGCTAAAGAAAAACGTGGAGGGGAAAAAATTAAAAAGAAAGGTACCGTGTCATTGTTTAATTTCATTATGTTTTGCAACAGCTAAATCGAAGATTCAATGGTGTAGTAGAAAAATTAGTAAACCTTCAGGCCTAGTTCTGTAATTAGCTGTGTGATCATAAGGGGTAATTTATCCTTTTGAACCTTCAGATTTCTTAATCAGGATCATGGGCAGATTTGTGAGAATTTAAAAAATATAATGTATTTACAAAAAAGTGCTCGGAAATACTACAGAGCACTATATAAAGTGCGAGAGAAATCTATTGAGAATTATCAGATATTCCCCATTCTTAGTAGATGAATTTCAAATAATTATATAATGATGAAATCACTTTGGTGTGAAGAGACTTTTTTTAAGCAAGTAGGCTCACTAGTAAGAATTATTAAATCATATAATCCACTGTAAGACTGACTACTGAGTCAGCTGAAAGCAGAAATGGGTTTAATCTACAACATAGCAATAAAAAGCTAATTCTCTATTGTGCTTTTTCCTTTAAAATTTATCACAAAACCCTGAAATATATGTAAATCAAGAAATGTTTTAAACATTTTCAGAAAATGAGGGTCAAGATAAAATTATCTCTTTATACGTAGCTATACTGCTTAGTCTCAGGACCTAGATACCAAACCTGACATTTAAAAATACGGGGTGAGGCAGACCAAGTGGCTCAGCGGGTTAGTGCTGCCTTCAGCTCAGGGCCTGATCCTGGAGACCTGGGACAGAGTCCCACATCGGACTTCCTGCATGGAACCTGCTTCTTCCTCTGCCTGTGTCTCTGCCTCTTTCTCTCTTTGTGTCTCTCATGAATAAATACATAAAATCTTAAAATAAAATAAAAAAAATAAAAAAATAAAAAATAAAATAAAATAAAAATAAAATAAATAAAATAAAAATGTGGGCTGAAATATTTATCTCACCAAATACATATATTTACTCAGCCACCTTACCTGTTTCATTGCTTGCTTCTTAGCAGCTTCCCTTTGAAGGCTTTCACTCACGGAGGTCTATAAAACATAAAAATGTTGTCACTGTTTAAGCCAATTGAAAATTTCTTTTCCAGTATTCTGGCTGGCAACTAGTTCCTTACTTATACTAAAAACTAGAAAAGTATTATGAAAAATATTATAATTAAATTACATTTTCAAAGTCTTTACCAAAACCTTAAGAAATAAATGAATTTTTGTTATAAATTAAGAGACTGGGCTGTAAGGTATAAGAGTGATACAGGAAAAAAATGAGGTGATGAGGCCTTTTATTCCCAACTTCACCACTAAGGTACTCAAACTCTATGGACTACAATTTATTTTGTGTGCACATGTGAATGGGTGGGAGAGCACTGGTCCCTTCCAACACATTTAATGGTATGATTCTCAGAAACAAAAAGCATATTTTTATACTTATTTTTTAAAGATTCATTCATTCATTCGAGACACAGAGAGAGAGGCAGAGACATAGGCAGAGGGCAAAGCAGGCTCCCTGCAGGGAACCCACCGACAAGACTTGGTCTGGGAACCCTAGGAACATGCCTTGAACTAAAGGCAGACACTCAACCACTAAGCCACCCAGGCATCCCTAGCACATATTTTTAATATAGCATATTGTATATAGTATATCAAGTTATCAGTATATGCTTAAGGCTTAGTACATGCTTAAGCTAAAACTACCAGTGGTTATAATCATTCAATAAATATGTACTAAGGTGTTCCAGCTCCTGAAGATAGTAAGGAGAATTATAGGCTCTATCCCTGAAAGATAAATGGTCTGAAAGGGAAGACAAGTAACTAAAGAGATAACTACAATATAGATGTGATAAGCTATATATAATAAAGGGATTGAAAAAAAGGTCTGTGGGAGGACAGAATCAAGAAAGTGTTCCTAAAAGAAATATGACATAGACCTGAACCAAAAAGAATTTAAGAGAAGCCAAGAGGTGTTTAGCAAGTAGTAACCACATGGGTGAAAGTAAACATTTACAGCTAAACTTTATATATATATATATATATATATATATATATATATATATATATACATACACATATATATAATTAAGCTACTTAAAAATAGTGTCTTAAGGGGATCCCTGGGTGGCTCAGCGGTTTGGCACCTGTCTTTGGCCCAGGGCACGATCCTGAAGTCCCGGGATCGAGTCCCGCATTGGGCTCCCGGCATGGAGCCTGCTTCTCCCTCTGCATGTGTCTCTGCCTCTTTCTCTCTCTCTCTCATAAATAAACAAATAAATCTTTAAAAAAAATATACTGTCTTCAAAGTATAAGGTTTTGTAAATATATTAACACTGAAATGTATACTTTAAAAGGGTGAATTTTATGTTACGTGAATTGTATCTTAAAATGAGTCTACTGATGAATTTATCTTTTATTGAAAAATACAATCCTCAGCCCTAGGCTAGTTTTCTAGCCTACTGACATTTGCTGCTTTCAGCTGTACAGTATCAAGTGCTGCTTCCTTTGTCTTCCATGGCAACAAACAGAAAAAATAAACCTAATTTAGTTCCCTATGACCATGGAGATAAAGTTAATTCACAAAGGCAATTCAAATAATCGAACACATATTTAATAAATTAAAGAAGTGGATAGGCAAAGAACTAAGGACATTTCAGGTGACAGTAAACTGACTACGACTAGAAGAAAAGATATTATTAACAAAAACAATAGCTAACATTTACGGAGCCAGGTGCTAAGTGTGTTACTTGTGTATTACATTTATCTCTCATTTAATACAAATTTCCCTATCATGTGATAATACATTTTACTCATTAGAATGTCCATTTTAAACCTTAAAATATTAAATATTCTAATAAGCATATCTCATAAATTCTTTCCAATTTTTAATATTTCAGTCTTTCTAATCAGTATAAATATTTCTTGATCATTGACTTAATAATGTCTTAAGAATTGACTAGAAGTAAAAAAAAAAAAAAAAAAAAAGAATTGACTAGAAGTCTCCAGATACTAGACTTTTACTTGCCTTTATTATTTTTTCCTCTCTCTCCTCCATTTGGTCACAGTTCAACTGTTTTTTTTTTTAATTTTTTTTTAAAGATATTTACTTATTAGAGACACAGAGAGAGAGAGACACACACACACAGGCAGAGGGAGAAGCAGGCTCCATGCAGGGAGCCTGACGTGGGACTCGATCTGGGGTCTCCAGGATCATGCCCTGGGCTGAAGGTAGCGCTAAACCACTAAGCCACCGGGGCAGCCCCGCTGTCACTTTCAAATTGATTTCTTCAACTCAAACTACTGAACTTAGAAAAATAAAACATAGAGCTAGTACATTTTAGACTCTCATAATATGGTATAAGCAGACTGGGAAGAGCCTTTCCAACGTAAAGTGTATATATATATATATACTGAGACAAGAGGTTTTATTTCCATGTTTTTGGCTGTTTTGAAGGATGATGTCTCTCTGACCTTTGGAAAAATCAGATATTACTTACAGGGTAGTATCACAATGGAGGGGAGTACAATAATTTTACATATTCTATTCACAGACTTGTATCCCTGGAATTTCAACAGCACCATCAGTGGATAAAGAAGTAGTTCTGAACCTAAGCTGAAAAAGTCAGAGATTATCTCCTTTTGAAGCTCATTTGATTTTTTTTTTTTAAGATTTTATTTATTCATTAGAGAAACAGAGAGAGAGAGAGAGAGAGAGAGACACAGGCAGAGGGAGAAGCAGGCTCCATGCAGAGAGCCTGACGTGGGACTCGATCCAGGGTCTCCAGGATCACGCCCTGGGCTGCAGGCGGCGCTAAACTGCTGCGCCACCGGGGCTGCCCAGATTTTACATTTTAAAGGTTGTTTTTCCAAGTCATTAGAGATATCCTTGAATTAAAATACTAATAAGATTTTAAGACTCAACTTTAAATTTATGAACATTTCTCAACTTATGATGAGGTTATATCCTGATAAACATATCATAAATTGAAAATATTCTGGTGCTCGGGTGGCTCAGTTGGTTAATGTCTGCCTTTGACTCAGATCATGATCCCAGGGTCCTGGGATGGAGCCCCACCTCAGGCTCCCGGCTCAGTGAGGATATATAATAACCACCAACACATCAGCCTTGAACTTTAGAATTCCTTTATTGTATGGTATAAAAAGGAAGTACAGAATAATGGCTTAGGAATCTAACCAAGATTCAAACTGTTCTTTCTCTTATTACCTGTCTTATTTCAGGTATGTTACTCATCTATATAACAGTACCTACACTTCACAAGGTTCTTTAATCCTCACAAGGATTAAATGACATAATCTGTAAAAAGTGCTTAGCATCTACCTGGCTCAAAGAAGTGCTCAAAAAAATATTGTTTATATCTAAACAATAAGTTGTGGGAAAACAGTACTACAGTTAAACCAAAGTGTTTACCACAAAGCATGCAAACTATGTCTGATATATTTATCAGCATGGTTAATAAAATATAAGTTTGGAATTTATTTAGAGTTGTACAGTATGATTCAATTTACATCTACTAAAAGAGAAACATCTATTCTGTTGAATATTCAAAAGGCTGTGCATGTTTTGTGTGCTAAGGTTCTGTGTTTCTTAAGGTTTGATATTCAATATATCAATAAACAGGAAAATGGAGGATCTGTACATTTGAGTCCATCACTAGTCATGGGAACTATGGCATAGCTAAGGAATGGGTTTTCTAGAACTGATAGTGGCTTTCCTAGGAACTGCTTATAAATGAGAGTACATTCCTCAAAGCAGGAGTAGATTAAAAAAGAACTCCTTTGAGGGAGTCCTCTACTACACTGCTATAGTAACAACTGGATGGTGGGACTTGATAGCAAGGAGATGCCAACTGAATGGGTATCTGCCTTTAAAAATTGTTTTGGTTTAGGGTGGAGTTCTTGTCAAGGTATATTTTCCAAAACTTTGTTCTGACATAATTATAAATTCACAGGTACTTGTAAGACATGTAGAGGGAGGCCATTTACCCATCCTCCCCCATCTTGTATTAATTACAGTACAATCAATATCAACCAGGAAACAGACATTGGTTCTAGTCACAGAGCTTATTTAGATTTTTACCAGTTGTACATTTGTGAAAATATGTGTACAATTCTATGCTATTTTATGACATGTTTAGCTTCATGTAACTACCATCTTAATCAAGATATTTAACTGTACCAACACGATTCCTTTGTGTTACCCTTTATAGCCATATCACCTCTTCTCCTCATCCCTAATCCCTGACACCACTAATCTATTCTTTATCTCTGTATGTTACTTCATGAATGTTTAATAAATAGAAGCATTTTGAGATTGGCTTTTTTCACTCAGTATTATGTTAAAGGAATGTATTTTCTTTAGTACAGATATCACAAAACCCTTTAGTTCTTGCCACAAAATATTCTAGCCTACAAATGACCTAAGGAAAAACAACTGTTAAATAAAATGATTAAGGTTGAATGTGAGTGACCTAATCACACAATACAGTTATTAATTGATTAGTTTCAAAAACGAGCAGGCAGGCAATTTTTCAAATTTTATGTTTGAAAACCAATTCATTCACAGGATAATACAAGAGAGTATTCAGTAACTGTGCCTTTTAATAAAACCACAAATTACCATTAGTTTTAAATGTAGGAAGATAAAAATTACTCCCTGTAAGGGTCTTTATATTATCTTTTCTTTTTAAGAGAGAATGAGCAAGCGATAGGGAGGGACAGACAGAAAGAAAAGAATCTTGGCCAGCCTGGGTGGCTCAGCGGTTTAGTGCCTGCCTTGGGCCCAGGGTATGATCCTGGAGACCCGAGATCCAGTCCCACATCGAGATCCAGTCCCACATCGGGTTCCCTGCATGGAGCCTGCTACTCCCTCTGCCTGTACCTCTGCCTCTCTCTCTGCCTCTCACAAATAAATAAAATCTTAAAAAAAAAAAAAAAAGAATAAAAAATTCTAAAAAAAAAAAAAAAAAAAAAAAGAATCTTAGGTAGGCTCCATAATCATTGCAGAGCCCTACTTGATCTCATCA